TGTTCTAATATTTAAATTAGTCTGATAATCTAAAGTCAATTCAGGTAGGATATCCGCAATTGTATTCGAGCTTGAATAGGTGACAACCGGGTTGAATAGTCTCTTCACGGGGTTAGACAATCAAATTTAATTGCTCTTTTTATGTAGTAATTGTAGTAATTGTTTTGAATTGAGTTTTTCTATATTAGAATGCGATTAGACAATATTGCTTATGGGCGCACCTAGGTTTATTAGCTTATTTATGGGTAGTTAATGGTCGTATCTTAATTACTTACACTATAAGGAAAAATTAGTTGTAAGAGTTTGTTGATAACTATAACTAATTTATTGATACATTAATAAGAATTAACTTTATTAAATCAATGATAAAACACAAGTGTCATAACTATATCATCCTTTGAGTCAGACATCCCCTCGATAGCTAGTTCTCCGTTGATTTAATCGTTTTGTTATTTTGTTTTCATTAGATAATAAAAGAAAATTCTCCCCTTTTTATTTACTGCATTAGAACGCAAAAGAGTGAATCACACAATCCATGTGGAGATGATCCCTTCTCCGGTATTACATTAAATTGTGATCACAAAATATGTGAATTATTTGATTGACCGTGCAACAGGTCAAATTATTTTTATTTTAAATTTAAGAATGGATATGAAAAATTATTTTTCATATATATTATGTTTGAGTTTAAATTGGAATATATATTTTAGAAAACTTTGGTTCGCTTACTTAATATTCTTTATTTGATTTAGTTATCTTATTTTTTTTTATTTTTTTGTATATTTTCTTTTTTTAATATAAATTAATTTTTTCTATTTTCATACAAAATTTAATTTTGTAAAAACAAAATTTATTATTTAAAATATAAAATTAAATATCACATTATATAATCACCCGTGTATATAGTACGAGTTATAAGCTAATTATATATAAATTAAGATAATATCACAATTAAATTTTAATATATTGTTATATATTAAAAAAATTATGTATACAATTATTATATAATTTAAAATAGAATTATAAAGAGTATTTTGGATTTTAAAAAACAAATCATATTATATAATCAAATAAAGTACTCCCTCTCTCCGTTTCAAACAAGGTGTAACATATGCTTTTGGCACGGATTTATAGGTGGGTAGTATTAAGTAAGAAAATTTAAAAATTAGGTGATGTGATGGAGAGAGAAATATATATTTTATTTTTTTATTTGGATGATGTGAAGAGATAAAATATGGGGTAGAGATTAACTATAATTAATTATTTTCTATTTTAAAAATATTGCAGGGTATTTGGGACATACAAAAAATGAAATATTGCAGGGTGTATGGGACCGAGAGACTATAACAAATCATCAAATGCTTCCTCAATCTTAAACGAATGTATTTTTTTTTTATAAATTAAAAAATAATAATATTTTATTAAGAGCATTGCATTGGGAGAGTGCTTTTTTCAATACCATCCCACGCGTCACTAATTTAACAAATAACAAAATAAAATAATACACATAGCAAGTCCAACTGGGAGAGCCGAATGTGTGCAGAGCTTCCAATAGAATCTCTGATCTAACAATACTTTTGTCATGTGGCAAAAAAAAAAAAAAAAAAAAAAAAAATTTAATTATTTTTTATACACTTTATTTTCATTATATATATTTATTAATAATTTTTATATTTTATAAAATTTATTCTTTACAAAATAATATTAATATTCATATATTTTTTAATAAAATTTTAATTAATATAATCAGTTAATAATAATAATTTAATTTTGTAATTAACTTATAATTTATTCAATAATTTACAAAAATAATAAAAAATATATAATTACTAAATATGCAATTGAAATTTAGAAGAATAAATTAGAAATAATATAAATTACAATATCGCATTTAAAACACAACAATCAAATAATATTAAAATCGACAAATATAACAATATACATAATGATGTAGAAAATAGAATATTAAAACCAATAAACATAACAACATACATAATAAACTAAAAAATATAATATTAAAAGCAATTAATATAACAACATAAATAATCTAACCAATTATTTAAGCAATTCGTTGAATAAGTTGGTTTTTCAACATTTTCTCGTCCGCATTCAAATCTTTACCCCTTATAAACAATATATAATATTTTAAACTTTTCGGCTTGGATAAGATTAATATTCTTCTTTATTTTTCCTTCTCGCATATCAGCAATACGACTCAAATGTTCTATAACTTTTGCATTTTGAGTCTCTTTAAAATCCTCAAAAAAAAAATATATAATTTGGGTCTTGCTTTTGTACTCATTTTTTCTTATTTTTGCAAGCTTTGACACCAGGGGAACAAATAGGATATGATTCATCAAAAGTGTCATTGTGTGGTGTTGAAGGATTTGAAGCTGATGAATATCCACCAGCAGCTTAGTTGATTTTTGGTTCTCTTCGAACCACCACTATCATGAGATGTTCCACCAACAACATTAATAGCACAATAATTCCTATGTCATTTTGATTCATGTTTCAATACTCGTCATGCATGCTCATATGTGAACGACTACCAAAATCGGCATAATATATTTCGTATGTCTTGTTTAAGACATCATCATTAGACTGTCCACTGTCTCGTTTTTTTATATATAAATTATTATATTGTATATGTTTTTTATATTAATATTTTATTAAATATAAAAAATTATAATCAAATAATAATATCAATGTCGATTACAACAACTAATAATAATAATAAATATTTTTTATAATTTATAAATTAAATTATTAAATAAATAAATATTAATAAATATGTATATTAAATAAAAATTATTATTACTTTAATTATTTTAAAATAAATAATTTAATGATGTGGAGGAAAGAGAAATTAATATTTTTATAAATAAATTTTTTTTATGTGGATATAAAATAAGATGAATTTTTCCAATGACGCCATATAAGAAATATGATGCGATGGTTTGAAAAAAATTGGCCTCTATTGCTGATCTGTATCCAACATGTCATCAGACAAAGTCTAACACAGAGCAACACCAGTGACTCGATTTTAGACGGCTTCCCTCCTGCAATAGAAGCGATTTGGCTACATTCGAAATTTCTACAGCGAAGTGGCTTCAAACTTCAGGCCAAAAAATCGACTTCCCCGGAAGACAGTCTGGTGCAGTCGAAACGCTTTTCAAGCGGTTCTCTCCCATTTCCTTCTTCATTCTCTCACCTACTTTTTAATGGTGAATGGAGATGGAGAAGGAGAAGTCTCTCTCCCACTTTTTAACAAATAAATTATATTTTATTAAAGGAATAGATTGTTTTGGTTTTAAAACCGTTGTATAATTTTATTTTTCACATCCATCAGTTTATAAAGTGGGTTTAAACAAATAGAAATTTGGAAGCCTTTTTAGTTTTGGCCACGGCTGATGCTCTAAATCTGATTTTCATACACAATGGGTTTTACAATATCACACAGCTTGAACTAGACATCCTTTGCCCCATGCTGCTTCCATTCTGCCATCACTTTTGCACTTCTGGATGTAGGCTATTGGTTAATATTTTTTTTTTTTTGTAAAAAAGTCTGGTTTAGAAACAGATAGGAATGATAAAAACAATGCATAGCACATTTTCTAAGGGGTGTATTCATTTCAAATTTTGTAAAATTCTGTTAGATTTTAATAAGTCTATAGATTTATCTAAATTTATAAAATCCACAGAGTTTACGCAGAATTTGATGGATATTATGTATTGATATTAATGAATTTTAATAGATGTGATTTGATTTTTAATGGATTTATATAAATTTCACATGACTGTAAAATAATTTTTGTTGATTTATATAATTTATATAATTCAAATAAAACACATTTGTAGATAAAAAAAATAAAAAAATAAGTATTCAAACAATTAAATAGAAAAACAAAAATATAATATAGTTAAAATTATTAAATTATTTATTATTTTTATCTTCATATTCGTGATCTTCAATTATCATCACCATTATATATAATTAATGATGTATAATAATTATAGCATAATACTCCCTCCATTCCGGTTGAGTTACCATTATATATAATTAATGATGTATAATAATTATAGCATAATACTCCCTCCATTCCGGTTGAGTTGGCTCCCGTACGTGCGCTTAGAATTCATGTAGAAAAAAATTACTACTAGTCCAACTTGAAAAATAGTTAGAATAGTATAAAAGCAATAATATGACAGTAAAATATAAATATTTATTAAAAAAATAGGATATTTTTTAAATGAATATTTTATAATTGGACAACGGAATATATCATTTTTATTTCTCATGTATGCTTATTCAATATTTTTTATATATTTTTACTATTAATTTTTAATATTTATTTCTGTTTTTATTATTTAATTTATAGTATGAAAACAATGATGTGATAATAAAAATAATTATAAATTAAATTTAAGATAACTAAATAATTTAATTAAAATTAAAAATTAAAAAATTTAAAATTTAAAATATAATTAAAGTATACAATCATATCAAAAAAAAATTAATGGGCCTGAAAATTTATTTTCACATTTTACAAAATATCCATCTAATTATTATTTTTATAATTATATTAATATGTTGTTACAAAACATTGCATCTAATATATTATTATATATCACCAAGAATATTACTCCATCTCTCAATCGACTTATCAAAGATCTCTCTACTGAATTTTTTTATCTGGAATTGGATTTCTTTACCAAACACACCCAAGATAATACGAAGGAATGGGACGAGACACTAATTTAATATCAAGTTCACCTTCGTAGAAACAACTCAACATCTTATTTTATTACACATGTATTCATTTATTTATTTGGGTACCTAGTGTGAATTGTAATGTTAGTCTCAAAATCTGGTTTCAACAATACATTTGACGTTAATCTCACATTATTTGGTGTTTCGAAGCAGCTATATTAATTTGTTTCCATTAAATTAAATGACAAATGCTGCTAATACTGATTGATTCTAACACATAAATAAATAAACCAAAGTCAAAAAACTTCATATTAGAAAGAAAATAAAAGAAAGGAAGAAAGCCTGAGAGCAGGGAAGGGGAAGGGTTATGTAAAAGAGGAAGTACCATAACAAAGTTAGGTCAGGTAGAACCACTTTGGACGGCTTCAAACAGCACAAGAAAAACCAAAGAGTTACCCAACCCGTTTCACATATCCCCATCCCTCCTCGCCTAAAATCTCGGCTGAATATCTATAACTGAAAATTCGATCGAAATAACTTAACTCGACTATCCTATGCTGCAAAACTTAAGGGCATACTATGTTGAAGGCTCCATTCATCGGGATGGGTGCATCATCAATACAAGCCAAAGCTTCATCGAATGCTTCCTGGTCGAAATCCAAATTGAAATCCCGTAAAGAACAGGACTGATAATCATTGTCGAGCCCAGACATTGGAAGGTCGGAGAAATCGTTGAAAAAGTCATCCACAGAGGGGAGGAACTCATTGCCGAATAAAATAGGATCAACACTCATTTCCAAATCCAACTCGTCTCCAATTTTTGCGAGAGCCATCAGTTCTTCATCCAGATCAGCCGTATCTGGCTCAAGATTATTAACTTTCACTGATACATCACTAGCCTTCTCATCCTCGGACTTTTCATTAACTGCTGAGATCAGTGAATCCAACTCAGGCATTGATGGAGGAGAAGTAAGGGAGACGGGCGACACTGCACTTGCACAAGATTCCTCACTTTTACAATTGGCAGCATCTCCTTGCAGATTAGCCTTCTCCTCCTCAGAGGGTTTTGCATTGGCATTGTGTGAACCCTTATCGGACGACGGTTGGCCAGCAATATTACTAGTCAATGCCTCGAACTCCAATCTTTTCAATTCATATGCTATGAATGCTTCCTCGGCAGTATTGAAAGTGCCCAACCAAACCCGCTTGTTCTTAATAGGGTCGCGTATCTCAGCTGACCACTTTCCCCACTTCCGCTGGCGTACACCTCTATATTTGCCTTTGGCAGACTTTTCCCCAATTGGAAAATACACCTCATGAATGACACGCTTATCCCTCTTTGCAGTCACCGTCTCATCATCAGATGAGTCGGTAGCATCCGGATCGTTGCAAATAATCCGGAGCCTCCTCATAGCTTTTTTGGGTTGCGCTGGTGGAATTGGTCTTCCCATTATTAACTCTTTCTTCAGCAAAACTGGCTTCTGACACTCCAAATCCCTCAAAAAGAATATCCACACAGGCAAAATCGTTCCTCCAAAAGAATGCACTAATCAAATCAACACAAAAGGCAAATATGCCCAGGCAAAACGTTCCTCCAAACAATTAATGCAGTAATCAAATCAACACAGATGGCAAATATGTTGTTCAGCGTAGATTCAGAGGACGTTTAACCAACAACTTGTAGACTAGAAGGACTTCTCAGGAACAAGAACAAATTAAATAACCGATTTATGTGATATACCCCAAAACACACGACTCCAGAGCAAGTCCTTTTGGGCCTCAAACGCATCGAAACGGTTGGAAAGAAACCGATACTGCTCTGCTGGACGCTACAGCAGAGGGATTTTCTCAACCAAGGAGCCGATAACAATGGAACTAACGAGAAACAGAGCTTTGACGACGGAGCACCAAACACAACAGCCAAATCAAAACTTCTCGACATAAAATCTCTCTCTCTCTCTCTCGCCCCAAACCACTACCCTATCCTATCGCAGCAGCCCCCTTTGTAATCGATGATTCCTGCGGCGCCGCTTCTCCTTATCTCCACAGTGATCAAAGCGTTCCGGCGCGGGGGAGCTTTCGGGATTAGGGTTTAAGGTTTGGGACTTTAGGGTTAGATTTGACAGCGGGAGGGGGAGGCCTACAGTCGTCAATCCTGATCGATATATCATATGACCACGTTTACATTGTTTTAATAAATCTTTAATGATATGATATGATTTATTAAGAAATTAATTAAATAATTACCTAATTCTATAATATTTTGCAGATATTTCTGCTGTTTTAAAACTATACGTATAAGCAATTATTGGGTAAGTTTGTTTTAAATTTATATTGACTATGTTTACCCAATATATTGGGTAAGTTTGTTTTAAATTATCTATTTACCATATATTTTTACTATTTAAATTTATTTTTTTTAAAAAAAATATCAAATCAAATAAATATTTTTTATTTTTTTATATTATACTATAAATATATTTACATTCAAATATCACATCTATATCTATTTATATCACATCAAATAATTATTCAAATTTAACTTTTTACTATTCAAAAATCCAAATAAAAAAATTCAAATCCACAAACAAACACACCCCAAATAGACTAATAATTTGCCTGCTATGTATCTTTTTTATGAATTTAATTTTAATCTTAGGTATAAAAAATTGTAATCTAAACATTATTTTACGCATTGAATTATCAATCTTTGTGAATAGATAATGTTAAACACAAAAAATAAAATGTAAATTTGAGATCACTAAGGATGAATGAATGGCCTAATGACAATCCAACAGTGGGTCGGCCGATCGAACAGTAACTGTCTTTGCAAGAAATATATTCATCCGAGTGTTGGCCTTGGGTCGATTGATCACAAAGATTACCGGCGTGGAAACGATTTCGGTAAGACGGTTGGTCGGTTGGTCACCAATGTCGAAACAGTTTCGGACGATTCAAATCAGTAACCGACAAGAAAACGATTTCGGACGGTTTGTAACCGACGTAGAAGTGGTTTTTTACGGTTACCAACATGAAAGCTATTTTTTGGGCGGTTTAAGGGTAACCGACATGGAAGCGGTTTCGGACAGTTTGATTTGATACGTATTTAAGCAACATCAACGTTAGAGAGCAAACATCTTTAATCAAACAAAATTTTAAGAGAATCTCATTGAAGATCACTACTTTATTTTTAATACTTTGCTTTTTTCTTCAGCTATTTGTTTATCGCTTGAGAATTTATAGTTCAAAACTTTATTGTTCAAGTTCGAAATATGTTTTCGAATTTTACTTTTTATTTGTTGAAATTTTACCATTAACAAATTGGCGACCACGGTGGGAGAAAAACAAAATTGTTGATTCTACGTCTAACGAAAATTTCATACAACTTCGATCTGGTCGAGTCGTTGCAAGGAATTTTATGGTAGGTTCTCAATCTCAAGGTTTCAACACAGCCATCGAGGCCACCACAGCAACACCACCATCAATCCCCATTACGGGGATCATCTCCCAAATACCATCCGAATGGTTAAATCATGTTCAACAAATGAACAATCAACAAACAACCCCGCAGATAATATTGCACGAGCAACAAAACTTGATACATAATATGCTAGATCAAGCCTTGTCGAGAGTTTCATTTCAGCCCGAGCCTTCATCTCCAGGAATGTCTCTATCGCGCGTTCAGGCAAACTTCGTAGGAGCGTCGTTCGTGGATAGCACCATTCCAAGTGCTACAGCCCCTAGTAGGGCGGAGAGAGGGAAAACTCTCATCACTTTTCCAAATAATATTCCTTTGGGAACTCGGCCTGAGTTTTTTCAATAGAGGGATGACCGACCTGAAGGTCATTCTCATGATCTCATTCCAGTTCCGGATCATCATCTGGTCAAATTGGACCTAGACGATGTCGTGCACATCCTGAGGGTCCATTTTGGTATGACTCTACAGGTTACCAATAGGCCCGCATATCAACGGCCATTCCCTGAGTAGATCATCAATGAACATCCTCTTCCAAAGAATTTTCGACCACCCGACTTTCACACATTCTTGGGAGAGGATAGGTCTTCTACTATTGAGCATGTGGGACGCTTCAAATTGTGTAAAGACCGGGTAGCAGAAAAATGAGACCGTCTAGACAGAACGTATGAGGTACAGGCCGACCAACTAGGAAGCCCTGTCCGACTAATGATAATGATAAATGGAGTCGGAATAGGAAGCCTTTACTGATCAACATCGATCCTCGATTTTCAGGTATGAATCGTACTCAAATTCGTAATACTAAACGTAGATATGCTGCTCGGCACGACCGTCGTGTTGATAATTGTAGGGATCCCTCAGGCCCCAAACTTGAGATCCGGCATCAACCTGGTATTCGATTATTTCTAGATACTGCCACAGATCACCGGATGGTTCAAAAAGAGGATCAACAGGGGGTTGTTAAGAAAGCCATGTGTTATAGATGTCAACGTTGTACCAAGATTAATATTGATCCAATCATGGGGGAGATCAAAGAAAATGGCCAAGGAATTCGGTTCGAGTCTGGCTCAGACGTTTACGGAAGAATAGACGGATAGAGCCATTGGACGGTCCCCTTTTGAGGTCAGGATGTCAGGACTGCGCTGGCAACAAGTAGAGCCGATCTGGGGGGAGCCGACCTGGGAGGAACCCGTTTGGGAGGAGCCGATTTGGGCTAGTTAATTGTATCTTCTTCATCATCATCTTCAATATTATTATTATTATTATATTATTATATATATTATATTTTATATTTATCTTTATCGATACTTATCTGTTTAGCAGTCTTTTCAATCATAATCAATATATAAAATAGGAATAAAATTTATTCCAGAATATTAATTTCTTGATCCCAAAATATTATAAAAATATGTATTTGCTATAATATTATTATTTTATACACTCCAAAATCAGGGCATTACAATTCACTCCGCCTTAAAAGATTTCGTCCCCGAAATCCAAACTCAAACGCATAACAACACTACTTAATTAAACAAATATGGGTATGCTTTGAACATCTTTTGTTCTACTTCCTATGTGGCCTCTTCCGCTCCATGCCAGGACCACATTACCTTCACCATACGAATATCTCGATTCCTCATAGTTCGAACCTTTGTGTCCATGATCCAAAGAGGTATTTCCTCGTACGAAAGATCCTCATTTAGCTCTAACTTATCCGAAGATAAAATATGAGAAGGATCTGCGACATACCTACGAAGCTGTGATACATGGAACACAATATGAATTCGTTCCATGGAATTTGGAAGTGCTAACCGATAAACTCAATCCGCAACTCGATCGATGATTTCATAGCGTCCAACATTATATAGACTCAATTTTCCTTTAATTCCAAACCTTCTAATACCTTTCATTGAAGATACTTTTACCAGGACGAAATTTCCACTTTGAAATTTACCTTCACATCGGACTTTATCGGCATAACTTTTTTGGCGATCTTGAGCTATCTTCATCTTCTCCCTGATAACTCGAATCTTATTTTTTGATTCTTCGATCATTTTTGGACCTAATATCAGTCGATCACTCATGTCATCCCAATTTAAAGGAGTCCTGCATCATCGTCCATAAAGGGCTTTAAAAAGAGCCATTCCAATACTTGTTTGATAACTATTATTATATGAGAATTCCACTAAAGTCAAGTGGTCCTCCCAACTTCCTTGAAATTCTATTGCACAAGCTTTTAGCATATCTTCCAAAATACGGATAGTTCGCTCTGATTGACCATCAGTCATTCGATGGAATGCAGTACTCATATGGAACTGAGTACCAAAGGCTTCTTGCAATTTTTGCCAAAATCGAGATTGAAAACATGGATCACGATATGATATGATTACCTCAGGAATACCGTGTCGTTTAACCACATGATGAACATATAATTTGGCGAACTTCTGCATGCTCCAAGTCATACATACTGGGATGAACACTGTTGACTTAGTCAATCTATCTATAATCACCCAAATTGCATATGTTCCCGACTTCGCCCTTGGAAGTCCTGTCATAAAATCCATTGCAATAGAATCTCATTTCCAGAGTGGAACTTCTAAAGGTTGTATAAACCCCATTGGTCTATGATGTTATGCTTTCACCCTTTGGTAGTTTAAACATTGTGCAACGAATTTGGCTACATCCTTCTTCATGCCCTTCCACCAAAAATGTTGACGTAAGTCTTGATACATTTTAATCCCTCATGGATGTACTGAATATAGTGTATTATAAGCCTCACTCATAATTTTCTCCTTCAAATCGCTTCGGTCTTTTGGGATACACCACCTCTCATGGAATCGAAGACTCCTATCTGAAGTAATATTAAAGTTTTGAGTCTGACAACACTGAACTTTTATAGCCAGCTCGATCATCTTATTATCCTCCATTTGAGCCGCTCTAATATGATCATAAATTTCAGGCTCAACTTGCATCATTTGCAAATATCCCCGCATCATGCCCCGTCTAAGTACTTCAATTTCCATCCGTGCTAAATCTTGACACAGTTAATCGGCAACTGACATAGAACCCAACTTATGCCTTGGTTTTCGACTAAAGGCATCAGCTACAACATTTTCTTTGCCTTAATGATATACAATTTCGAGATCATAATCCTTCACCAATTCTAACCATCTTCTTTGTCTTAAATTTAATTCTCTTTGGGTGAAGATTTATTTCAGACTCTGATGGTCAGTAAACATTCTACAATGGGCACCATAAAGATAGTGCCTTCAAATCTTCAAAGCAAACACAACTGCTGCCATCTCCAAGTCATGTGTAGGATAATTCTCTTTTTGTGAGGTTTTAGTTGTTGTGATGCATAAGCAATAACTCTTTGATTCTGCATTAAGACGCATCCCAATCCCCTTTTCGAAGCATCACTATAAACTTCAAAATCCTCACCCTCTACTGGTAAAGCCAAGACTGGTGCTGAAGTTAATCGATGTTTCAATTCTAGGAAAGAGGACTCACACTCACGATCCCAATTAATAATTGTGTTCTTCTTCAGAAAATTAGTAATGGTTTCGCAACCTTCGAAAAATCAAGAACGAATCTTCGGTAATATCCTGCCAAACCTAAAAAGCTTCTTACTTCTGATTGATTGGTAGGTCTTGGCCAATCCGAGATTGCCGCAACTTTAGAAGGATCTACTGA